GTTGTGAGGATTTTCATTTTCTGTGAGGTGTAATCCATACTGCAGATAGTAGTCTTTAATCTTCATCAGTAAGTGCTTCATGTCCTCTTCACTTTCAGTAAGCAAGATTGTGTCGTCTGCATATCTCGGGTTGTTAATGAGCCTTCCTCCAGTCCTGCGGCTGCATTCTTCCTATGGCCCAACTTCTGGGATTATTTGCTCAGCATACTGATTGAATAAGTATGGTGAAAAGGATACAACCCTCCTGTACAACCTTCTGATTTTAAACCTCTACTTACATTAGAGTTAATTTGCTAACCCAAAGCCACTCTGTGGAAGAAAGATGAGGCAGTCTGCTTCTGTAAGATTTACAGCTTTGGAAACCTATTAGGGGTCGCTGTAAGTGAGAATTGACTCAACAGTAAGTTTGGTTTTGGTTTGTGATTCCTTGTAGGAACCTTGGTGATGCAGTGATTAAGTGCTTGGCTGCTAACTGAAAGGTCAGTGGTTCAAATCCACCAGCCACTCCATGGGAGAAAAATATGGTAATCTGCTGCCATAAAGATCACAGCCTTGGAAGCCCTATGAGGCAGTTCTGCCCTGTCCTACAGGGTCACTATGAGTCAGAATCAACTCGATGGCAGTGGATTTTTTGGGTAGTTCCATATGAATTTGAGGTGTTTTGTTTTTTTTTTTTTTTTCTTTCAGTTTGTGTGTGTGTATTCTGTGGAATTTTCTAAATACAGAAGCTTATCATCTTTAAAGAAAGATAGTTCTTTTCTTCCTTTCCAACTTGGACATCTTTTATTTATTTATCTTGCTTAATTGCTCTAGTTGGACCTTACAGGCTGATGTTGAGTAGCAAGGGTGAAAGTAGCCTTAGCCTCCTTGTTCCTGATCTTTGTGTGTTCCATCTTTCCCCATTGAGCATGATGTTAGCTGTGAGATTTCACAGGTGCCCATAATCATTTTGAGGAAGTTCCTTTCTCTTAGTTTTCTGAGTGTTTTTATCATGAAATGCTTTTCCACCTTGAGTAGGTTCTGAGTTCTGCAAAGCAATGCCAACTCTCAGAAAGGTTAAAACACACAATCACAATTCTTTGCAAGTAAGCGCTGCTCTGCTCCCTCTGGAACCAGAGACCAAGGTCCCAGACTGAGAATGCAACTGCTGACATCTAGACCTTTGTCTGGCTGTGGAGGGGACGTGGCAAGGGCAAATACAAACACTGCAAAGCTTCCCTGCAATTTTTATGTTGCCCACCCCCTTATAAATTGAGTTTTACATGGTTGCTGTAAACCTTTGACCAGAGTGCTGCAAATGTTGATTCAGACAATTTTTGTTATGTTCTTTTTTTTTTTTTTTTTAAGCAGAGGGGCAGACTCTGTTGTTGTTAGGTGCCTTTGGTTCAACTCCAACTCATAGCAACCCTATGTATAACACAGAAATGGTGCCAGACCCTGTGTCCTCACAATCTTTGCTATATTTGAGGCCATTGTTGCAGCCACTGTGTCAGTCCATCTCGTTGAGAGTCTTCCTCTTTTTCAGTGATTCTCTACCAAACATGATGTCCTTCTCCAGGGATTAGTCCCTCCTGATAACATGTCCGAAGTAAGGAAGACATTAATCATGCCATCCTTGCTTCTGAGGAGCATTCTGGCTATATTTCCTCCAAGACAGATTTGTTTGCTCTTTTGATAGTTCATAGTGTATTCACCAACACTGTGTTAATGCTTCTTTGGTCTTCCTTTTTCATTGTCCAGCTTTCTTAAATATATTGACTATCCCAGGGCTTGAGTCAGGCACACCTTAGTCATCAAAGTGACATCTTTGCTACCTACTCTACAATTTTCTCTGATTATCCATATGCTAATTTTCATTTATGCACTTAATATATTAATTTATTTTCATTAAAAAAAATCCAAGAATAATATAAGTATGCTGAATAAAAAATGCAAGTCACCTCAACTTTCCCACCTTATTTCCATGCCACTCAGCATGGCAACCATTGATAAAAATGAGTTGTACCTCCTGTTCTCCTGCATATTATATGCAAATGATGCATATATGCATGCAGATAATATGTATATTTTAAACATAAATCATATTGTATGTGTTGTTCTGCAGCGTACTTTTTCATTTGATAATATGTCTTGGAGACTTAGCTATTAAAATACGTATTGATCTTATTTTATTCTTTTAACATAAGCAATGTATTCTATAGAATGACTTTCTTGTAATTCATTTATTCATTCCAAATTTCAGTTTGCACAGTCATTAAGGTTTCTCTCCTAATTCTTTGCTCTTATAATTTTTTTTTAACAATATGGCACAGCAACTCTGTTTAAAGGGTAAGTTTTCTTTAGAAGAAAAGTATCAAATGATGTCCCCATTTATAAATTGTCTTACTTAAAGTGTTTTACATATTTATGTTAGGCTTAAGCACATGTAAAAATACCTATTAAATATTCTTACAGATTTATATAATTCTTTTTGTATTACTTGCAGTTCTGTAGAGTAAAGTATTTTCATTTATAGTTATCTGATAATTTTTGATGTTGTTTTTAAAATCTATGTTTATCATTCACCTGTCATTTAAATTTTATGACATAACTGTTAATAGACTTTAGCCATTTTTTTCTTTTTATTTTACTTCTTTTCAATGTTTTATTTCTTGTTGATTTATAGGGGCTATTTATATATGTAGAATAATTAAAACCAAATAAAAAATCCCTTGGCATCCAATCAATTCTGACTCACAGTGACCGTACAGGACAGAGCAGAAACTACCATATAGAGTTTCCAGGGCTATGATCCTTTGGAAGCAGACTGCCACATCTTTCTACCGTGGAGCAGCTGGGTTTGAACTACCGACCTTTTGGTTGGCAGCCAAGTGCTTAACCACCATGCCACCAGAGCTTCTTCATATTCACAATTTTAATCCTTTATTAGAAGGAGTCCTAGCAACAGCTCATTGCTTAAGAGGTTGGCTGCTAACTCAAAGGTTGTTACTTCAAACCCACCAGTCGCTCCACAGAAGAAAGATGCAGTGGTTTTCTTCCATAAAGATTACTGCCCTTGGAAACCTTATGGGGCAGTTCTACTCCGTCCTATAGGGTTGCTGTGAGTTGAAATTGATTTAATGGTGCACAACAACAACAACAACCCTTTATTGAGTATGTTGCAAACTGTTTACCCAGTGTGCTTCCTGCTTGAAAACTCCATTTCTGGTGTCATTTGTCCTGCAAATACTTTTCTTTTGTGTGTGTGTCTAAATCTGACTGACAGTTACGACATCTGGCATTTGAACTATTTTTAGGAAGATTTTCTCCATTCCAGTATTAGAAATATTTGCAGGGTTTGTGTCATTCTCTTTTTCTTTTTTTCAGCTTGTTAATTAAACTAGAATGTGGTTGTTCACGTGTATGTATGGACTATATTTTTCTATGTCTTATTCTTTTTCTGGTGAAATTGTACAAGCTCTTTTGTCTTTGCTTAACATAATTTTACAATGCAAAAACTTAAAACATTTTAAGTAGAAAATTATATTAATTTTTATCACTTCTGAGTTTCATAGCATAGAAAAATTTTCCATAATCCTAGATAAAAATGCATTCATTTTAAAAAATATTTCTGGCTTATGAATTACAGTGGAATCATTTCCAGTTTATATTATTAAGTGACAAAAGCAATGTTCAAAACAGAGTGTATAGTATGCTACTTGTTATCTCAGAATGAGCTATGTGTGTGTTCACACACACATGCATGCATGCAAATATGTATCCAGACATATGCATGCTGATACACACATACATACGTATTTTCTTATATTTCCAAAAATCTGTAATGGAAGGATAAATGGAAGGAGAGAGTGAGCAGATATGATATTGGTGACAGGTATGGCAGCAAGATTTTCTATCTAAATATGTTCTTCTTCTTGTTAGGTGCCATTGAGTTGATTCCAACTCAGGGTGGTCCTATGTGTACAGAGTAAAACTGTGCTCATGAGAGTGTTTAAGGCTGTGGCCTTTCAGAAACAGTTCACTATGCCTGCCTTCTTAGGTGCCTCTGGGTGAGCTCAAACCTCCAACCTTTCAGCTAGTTATTGAGTTCTTAGCCATTTGTATCACCTAGGAGTACTCCCAGATATGTTCCTAGAAATACAAATTAAAATATTTTTTATTAATTTGCTTTTTAATAGTCCTGTAAAGGGAGTAAAGGAGACCTGATGACAACTATTGAACTTGGAGGATGAGTTTTCTTTCCTTTGCCGTTGAGCCAGTTTTGGCTGATGTCAACCCCATGTATATTAGAGCAGAGCTGTGCTCCACAGGGTTTTCAATAGCTATTTTCTGAAGTAGCTTGCCAGGCCTTCCTTCTGATAGATGATAAATACATGGGGTTTATTATACTAGTTTTTTTCCATATTTGAATATTTTTTAAATCTTCCATTATAGCCTTTTATATCTTTAAACAGTCATTTTTGTTTATTATTATTGTAAAAAAAATTATTATTATGGTAAGTTGTAAATCAATTTACCTTTAAGCAACCAAGTAAATTGAATTTGATACCTCATCAAAATAAGTGAGGAGTTTTAGAATTTGAAACCCACACATTTTAAGTGTGCATAGATGCTGACAGGAAGTTGTTGAATTTGTAGGGTTCAGTGTAGATGCTGCTGTAGGGTCATATTTGACTGCTAACCAGAAGGCTGGTGGTTCAAACCCACCAGCCACTCCTCGGAAGGAAGACTGGGCAGTCTACTTCCATAGATATATTGCCTTGGAAACCCAAGGAGGAGTTGCTATGAGTTGGGACCAACTTGATGGCAGTGAGTTTGGTTTGGTTTTGATAGATACAGTTGACCGGAACCCAATCTTGAAAGGACTAAGAATCTTACGGTCTCATTAGAAGCTGGTCTCATGTCTGTTGACACTGGAATCACCTTTAAGCTAAATCTACCACTGTGCGTTCTTTCTGTCAGCCCTACATCTCACCAAGGCTGCCATATTTGTTTTGCAGGTACAGCAGGTACAGACTGTGCAGCAGGTACAACATGTCTACCCAGCTCAGGTTCAGTATGTGGAAGGAAGCGATACCGTCTATACCAATGGAGCAATGTGAGTTCATGTGTAGGATCTTTTTAATTCTCACACTTTGTTAGAAAAAAATTGTATGCTTTCTGACATGTCCCACTGTATCTACATTTTTCCTGAGCTTTCACAGCAAGTCTTTACTAGAACAGCATCATGCTGCTTGGGCAAATGTTTAGAGATTCGTCTGTGCTTATTAAGAATGTATGTTCGCTTTCCCTCTCACCTTACACAAGTAGAATCTTTTAAATTATTTAAATTGTTATGTTCTTTAGCAATTTTCCATACGTTGAAAACGAACTTATACCCCTTGATGGTGATTTTTATATCTTTTAAACACATACTTTTTCTTTTTGTAAATAAGGTATGGTTGTGTGTGTATAAATGAATATAAACGATTAAATGTGGAGGGATTTTTAATATTTACTAGGAACTCTACATAAAAGTTCCTAGTACTTACCCAATTTCATTGTCCCATCTAAACCCTTTCCCCTACTCATCTCCTTTGCCTCAGTGTTAATGTAAATTTGTATATTTATTTCATTTGGGCTTTCAGCCACTTTGGGTTAAGACTCAGAAAGTTATTATAAATAAACAGACTAAGAGCTGTGCCAAATCACCAAAATTGTTTTCATTTGTTGTTGTTATGTGCCATCGAGTTGGACCCGACTCATAGCAACCTCTCCTTGGGTTTCTGAGGCGGTATCACTGCAGAAGTAGATTGCCCAACCTTCCTTCCGAGGAGTAGCTGGTGGGTTTGAACCACCAGCTTTCTGGGTAGAAGTCAAGTGCCTTAGGCACTATGCTACCAGAGCTCCTTGTTTTCATTTACCATTTGGGTTTTTCTAGATTTGTAATTTGTTGACTCTCTGTGTTTATCCGAAATGAATTCACATTCTCTCATCAACTGTTGTTCTTACTTCCCTTCGGTGTTGTACCCCCAGATGATAACTTCTGCTTCCTTTAGTCTTACTACAACTGCTGTTTCTTGGAGTGATTTAACTGTCATAATGTCAGCCTATATGCTGCATGGGTCAGGGACTTTCATCTGTTTTGCTCACTATGATGTCTCTAATACCAAAAGAGGGCATGACACATAAGAGCTCAATTAAGCTTAAAATTCCTGACTTACTGTGTACTACTATCTTTTAATTTCAGTCCTGAGGTCTTAATATTTTTTTCTTGAGAAGTGAGAAGATAATAATCTCAATCTTATTGGGCTTCTGTGAGCATTTGATGGAGTCGCTGGGTGGTGCAAACAGTTAAACACCCGATTACTGAAAGGTCAGTGGTTCGAATCCACCCAGAGGCACCTTGGAAGAAAGGCTTGATAAATTGCTAACAAAAGGCCATAGCCTGGAAAAGCCTATGGAGCAGGTCTACTCTGCACACGTGGGGTCACCATGAGTTGGAATTGACAGTAACAGGTTAGGTTTCGGTTTTTGCTTTTTGGTGAATATTTGAGGAGATGTGTTTAAAGTCCCTAACATAGGCCTTAGGAGCTCTGGTGGCATAATGCCTAAAGCATTTGACTGCTAAGCAAAAGGCTGATGGTTCAAACCCACCAACCACTCCTCAGAAGGAAGGTTGAACGATCTACTTCCGTAAAGATACTACCTCAGAAACCCAAGGAGGGGTCACTGTGAGTCGAATCGAATCAATGGCAGTGAGTTTGGTTTTGGGAACACAAGCCTGGTACAAACTAGATAAAACATAAATGACAGCTTTTCATTAACCCTGTATTATATATTGAAAACTAGAAAACATTGCTAAAAGAAATAGACGTGGAAAGACACCCTGTGTTCATTTCCTCATTGCTTTTGTCGCTGGCTCTATCCATGTCGCCATTGCTCTAGAGTTTATAAGATAAAATCCAGCTCCCTACTTTGGGATTCTCTATTCCTACCTTCTCCTGCTTCATCTTCCACCTCTCCCAGGCACAGCCAACTTTCTGTAATTTCCCCAAAGACCCCTTTTGTGCCTTTTGTGGTTTTGGACCTACAGTTTTCTCTACTGGAGTGCATTGTCTCTCATCTCTCCTCCCTTCTTCCCAGCACCCCATGCTCACTGTAGTGTGATTGTTATGGACTGGCACCAGGCCAGTCTGTGAAGTCCTCCTTTGGGGCATGGTCCCTGACTCTCCTCTGCAGTTAACTTACTCCACCGCATCAAGGTCAGCACTTTGCCCTGACTTTTGTTTCTATTCTTGTACTATGAATGCTTGTTTATATTTCCTATATCAGGAAGAACTCTCCCTGGATGGGAACTGAGGTTGTTTGTCTTCTTATATCTACCTAGGTATCTGGCACATAGTAACTAATGGCTCAGAACGTTTCCCTTACTCTGGTGAATGTACAACTCTTTATGTATTATAGGTACACTGTGAATATCTGTTACCTGTTTGTGGGTGGGTCCAGGGCCTCCTGAAGGCTGCCTTTGGAATCTTTCCAAACACTCAAAGTACTACTGACATTTATGCCAAATAAAAGAGATGCCTGCCATTGGACCTTTATGCTACATGGAAAATTAGTGGGCTTCTAGACGTTGCTACAGGTAACCCAGTTGTAAGTTGTCATTTCATCCTTGCTTCTGGTGTATCTGTCGCAAGAACCCTGGAGTGAAAGCATTGTATAACCTGCCTTTGTTCAAGTGTCTACCATCTCCCATGTAGTTTGATCTTTTAGTTCAAAAACATCCTAGGCAAAGCCATACTAGACCTCAGTGGAGAGCTAAGTTACCACTCTGCTGTCTCCTTCCATAGCCTCTTCTCTTACATTTACTGCAGAATTCCATCAGCTGATAATCCCAGAAAATGGGACAAATAGAGGTTTCAGAAAATTGGGGCTTCTATTTTCTCAGGTAATAAAATCTGGAGGTAGCATATTGTATAATCAATCTTAGTGAAGGAACTCTCCAAGGCTGACATACAGCAGAGGGAGCATCACTGGACAGGAAGCACTGTGGAGATTGCCCTGGTAGAAGGACTTCACCCCCATCATAGGCTGCATATTTCTAGGGAACATGGGCAGGGAGTATCTAGCTAGCTATGTGGTATGGACATATGGCCTTTTTAGAAAGGAGAGTGCCTCTGGAGCTCAGCTTCTGCTATTACCTGTTCCTCCGTGGAGCTCAGACCTGCTGAGCCTGCCCATTGCTAAGTCACCAAAAGACAATAGGAGCACAAGCCTTCAGAGCTCTCTAGAACAATGCTTTCTTTTAGACTGTTGTTGACCGTGGTTTAGCTGCTCAAGGATACAGGGTCATACTTTTCTAGCATTTTCACAAGGCGTATGCTTTGGTTCCAGCCATCACCTCACCATTGCAGGCATCAAGAAGGGGAAAGGTAGAAAGGAAAAGGGCCTTGGTGGCACAGTGGTTAGACGCTAGCTATCATATAGGGTCACTATGAGTGGGATTTGATTTGAAGGCACATGGCCAAACAGCAACATGTATAAGGAAGCAGAGACTTTCCCAGGGATTCCCAGCTGGCTTTTGCTTTCATCCCATTGTCCAGGACTCCAGCACAGAATAATGGCTAGCTGCAGAGGAATCTGGGAATGTGAGTTTGTAGCTTTCATGCCCATGTGGTAGAACACAGGAGGGGGGGAAGGGACAGTTGGAATAGATGTTGAGTTAACCCTACAGTATCTATCACGATCATTGATCATTTTATACTGGTCCAAGGTGGAGTGGAGAGATTAGGCTTGGCTACTAGAAGCTCTGGTAGCATAGTGCCTAAGGCACTTGACTACTAACCAGAAGCCTGGCAGTTCAAACCCACCAGCCACTCCTCGGAAGGAAGGTTGGGCAATCTACTTCTGTAGTGATACTGCCTTGGAAACCTAAGGAGGGGTCGCTATGAGTCGGGGCTGACTCGAGGGCACATAACAACAACAACACTACTTAGTAGTGTGAGACTTTGTGAAAATTGCCTAAACAGCTTCCCTTAGTTCATCCATGAAATGGGGATAATTAACTTATCAGAAGTACTTCTCAGGGCATCTGAGAAATGGTAAGCCCTCAGTAAACATAAGCTATTGATACAATGTTATATACTATAGTTACTCGTTTCTGTTTTACTCTTCTGCCTGTGATTCTGATTTATATATATTGTCTTATACATTTTTAAATCACTCCACTACTGGGCTTAAGGTCTTCCATATACTAAGTAAATGTGAGTTGAATGAATTCCATTCATTCAATAAAATCTTAGAGAAATCTCTAAACTTGGCCCTTTTAAAGCATAGGCCCATTTACGTGCAGAAATGATTCAAAGGAAATCTCTAGGGCCAGCACGTATTTTCTATAGCCTGTGGCTCAGTTGGTTAGATCCTGACTAATGAGGTCCAGGGCATGACTTCATTTGACAGAGAGTCCAGTTAGCTTTGATCTGGTCTGTGGGCCCCAGCTCTAGCCAGTTATTTATTTCACATAGGTGCATCCTTGGCTGAGGGAGAGAAGAGGCATCCTTAGAAAACATTTATTATTCCCAAGTGTAGTTTTTGACTAAAGGTTCCATCATCTTTGTATTAATAAAGAAAAAATCATTGTGCTGCCATGATTTATACTCAGAATTTCAGTAGCTAGAGGGCTACTAATGTATTTACGGTAAAACCTGAGAAAGATGGAAACTGTGTGTTCTGGTTACCTACTGCCGCTCTGACAAGAATATACCCCAAATAGGATGGCCTTAACAAACAGGAGTTTATTTTACAGTTTAGGAGGCTAGAAGTTGGAGTTCCAAGTGCCAGGCTCTAGGGGCTGTGTAAAAGCCCCTCGACCTTGGGCTTCAGCTCTGCCTCTTGCTCCTGGCCCACTGAAGCCAGAGGCATCCCTTCACTCAGGCAGCTACTGGCCCAAGGTCGACAAATAAAATGGCACAGTCTTGATGTTACCAAACCACATGGCAGGCCATTAACTTAAGTCCTTTAAAAGTCCCAAGGTTGGCAGAGCATGGCAGGCTGCTGAACAATGGCACGACCACATGCAGGGTTCAAGGGTGCCGTAAACTGGAGACCATTCCCAAA